GTCACCATCCTGAAACTCCCACCGTCCGCTCCATCACCATCCTGAAACTCCCACCGTCCTCCCCATCACCATCCCGATACTCCCACCGTCCTCCCCATCACCATCCTGAAACTCCCACCGTCCTCCCCATCACCATCCTGAAACTCCCACCGTCTTCCCCATCACCATCCTGAAACTCCCACTGTCCTCTCCATCACCATCCTGAAACTCCCACTGTCCTCTCCATCACCATCCTGAAACTCCCACTGTCCTCCCCATCTCCAGCCTCAACCACATCACACCCTGCTCTATTCTAGCTTCACTGACCACAGAGAGAGAACAGACCCTTCCTTCCTTGCTTGTTTCTTAGATTTCTCTACTCTTATACAGTCCAGGACCCAGCCCATGAAATGGTGTTGCCCATGGTGGGTTGGGTCTTCCTACAGCCATTAATAATCAAGACAACCCCCATAGATATGCCCACAGGCCAGCCTGATCTAGATAACCCCTCACTAAAACCCTCTTCCCAAGTGATTCTAGATTGTGTCAAAATTAACCAGCACACTCTCCTATGACCATCACCATCTCCTCAACAGGCCTTCTGCCCCTTACTGCCATCTCTTCATTGTCAGCGTCACAACCATCCTCATGAACACAAACCAGAGCCTTAAGGGGCTGTAGCCGGGAGACTTTGTCTTCTTACCAAACTGGAGTTCCATCTCACCTCGACTCCCACCTGTTTAATTGCTTCTCTCACTTGTCTCTGTCCACCACACCTATGTATAGATGGAGGGGATTTACAAGTAACATTTTGCTTTTCTTTCTTTTGGGACAGGATTACTGATCTTTTATTGTTTGCTGTATAAATGACAAAAGGTGGTGATTAAGTTTGACTCATTAAGTCTAAGTTGTTACAAATTTGGAGTGTTTGATTAGATTCCTTAAATTAGAGGAGTCTGAAAGCAGAAGAGTATCTGAGACATGGTCTTCTTGCCACTCTCTTGGTGTCCATGCCCCTGCCAGTGTGCTGGCCTAGTACTCAACTTGTCCGAAAACTGGTCTCCAAAGCAGGCTGCTAAGCCATCTTTGATGGAGAATGTAAGAAGGGGAGAGTTTTCACAGTGTTTTTCATCCTCTGCTTTTGGGGAGGGACCAGAGAAACCTATTGTGAGGGAAGTAGTAATGACAGGCTAGCCGTGGGCATAAACAGGGGCATGAAATTCTGAAAACAGAGTTCTAGCTAAGGAAGTCAGGTTGTTTGCCAAGGGCAACAGTTACCTCCACAAACTCTTGTGTACCGTGTATTCTTGACTGACAGCTGCCTGGGTCTCGCTGCTGTCTCAGCCCCCAAATAACACAGGTGACACTATATTAATTATGAAGCTGTCGACTGTTTGCTATGGTTTCTTAATGGCTAGCCCTGACTTAATTATTAACTCATAATTACTAATATATCTTACTGAGGAGGCAGCCTCATGCGTCATGTCTTCCCGTGATCCCATGGCAACTCTCTACTCTTGATTACATTTCCCAGAGACCTCCTTGACTCCTAGTCCCACCTATCTTGCTTCCCTATTGGCCAACAGCGCTTTATTCATTAACCAATAAGAGAGACATATACACAGAAGGACTTCCCCCATGAGTCTTGAAAGCCACTCAGTAGTAATCTGTGTATCTGTACCACTCAACCCTCTCCTAGGCCCAGCTCAGAGCTTATCTACATCCCCACCCCCACCCCAGTCTGTGTTGTCATCTTCAGTGCCTGGAAGACTGGTACTCACACTGCTGATGATTGAGTTTCTTCTCCTTTCTCTCATTCTGAGACAGTTCGCAGCAGTAGGGGGATGGTCATAGTCCTGATTATCTCCTTGCGTCTGGAATTCAGGAATTGGTTATGGACTGTATTTCTGCTATTTGAAAGGCAGCCTTTCAAACACATGGTTACCAGGCCAACATTCTCTAAAGGACAGGAGCTGGACACTCTCATCTCCTAAACTCAGCTCTTTCCCATTCCCCGATTGACTAAGTTCCCCAGAGGTCCCCATGCTGGGAGCATGGTCTCCAATGTGGTGGTATTGAGGGGCTGGAACTTTTAAAAAGAGTGGGGTCTAGTCTAGATGATCACTGAATTAGAAAGAGGTTGTTATACTTCTCTAGACTCTGGTTAGTTCCAGGAGTGAGTTGCTGCAGAAAGTGGGCATCGATGGCAAGTCCTTTGACTTTCTTTCTTGTGATGCCATCTACTCTGCTATCACATAGCCAGAAAACCTTCACTGCTGATTAAATAGATGGGGTCACCTGACCGTGGACTTTCAGCCTCCCAAACTAAACGGAACTTGTTTCTTCATAAGGAACATGGCCTCAGGTATTTTCTTCCAACAACAGAAAATGATGATCACTGATCCCCAGCTCTGGATACATACCAGAAGTTAGGATGCTTTTCTTATAAACAGTAAAACATGATTTCAGTCAAGGGATGAAGTTGGCTCCATGCAGGCTTTGCTGACAACCTCCTCCATGGGAAATGACAGTTTATTTGGAATGCGCGTTCCTATGTGGGTGGGCTGAACATGGATGAGTCCATCAGGGAGGGAGGCAGCTCTTCCTGGCCAGCTGAGTCTGCTAGGTCAAGCACTGGGCTCAGCTGGCGGGGTTGGCTGTACTCACCAGGGCCATTTCTTCTAGGGAGGGCGGTGTGGGAGAGACTGGAGTATGCTGATGAATGGACCGAATTTTCACGATGACATTGGCGATGCCACCAGCCTTATTTGGCACTGTTTACAATCTGTAATTTTGTTGTTTGTGCTGCAGTTCTAGGTTGTGTGATAATCCTTTGTGTGTGTGTGTGTTAGAAAAAGATAATTTTCTGTTGTTTGGAAACTGTAAAAAATTATAACTGGTAACATACTGTTCTTCATTGTTCTTTTTGCAAGGGAAATAGTGTCTCTTTGTTTCATCTGCCCTGTCTGCTTCTGTGAACCCTGTGTTTGCAGTAAATTCTTCCTGGGCTTATGGACATGGTTTTTAGATAGCTCAGCTACCTCTTGGTTTGGTGGCAGCTGCTCATCTCTTGGGAGACAGATGAGTAAAGTATTTTGGATTTGCCTCTCTTGCATTATGTCCCTTTTGATTGTCTAACTCTTACCCTAAATTCCTTGCCTTGTTCTGTTTTATTTGATTGAGATAGGTATCATCCTCTTGCTCCCACCTTCCAAGAATTGGGGTTATGGACCTGTGTGACCGTGATGAAGAGGTCTTGATTTAGAAAAGTTAACCTAGTAATAGCACCACCCCTCCCTATCTTTGTCTAGCTGATATTGTAAGGACACTCAGTGGACACATGGGTGGTTGTTTGGTTGTTTGTTTTCCCTCAGCAAAAGGAAGAAGCCACCAGGTTCACAGATATTATGGTTACTTAGTTTCATGCCCTTATCTTGCAGTTCAGAATAGATTAGTTTTGGAAATGATGAGGCCTTCTCGTCTGGATGTTTCCTCCTACTCATGTACCGTAACTGGCTTTGGCTTGAGCCCTACATGAGACTTGACTTTAAAGATTAAAATCAAGTAAATGAAGAATAATTAGAAATATTTTTATTAAAGTTTTGATTTTTTTCTTTAAAAAAAACGAAAAATAAGTCTTAGAGGGAGTTGATTTAAAAGGTTCATTTTTCTGGGTTTGCTATGCATTTGTTATAAATAATAAATAACATTATGGCAGTTGACTACCACACTTCTGTGCAAAATAAATAAATGCATTTGGTGATATACATCTGAGGAATATGATTCTTGTAATTTTTATGGAAACAAGGAAAAGCTTAACAGTTGATAGAGATTTTACCATCTGTTAGCCAAGAAGAAACAGCGTAGCGTTTACCGAGCTTAACAGGTACACCGTCCTGCCAGGAACAGCGGTTACCTAAAACTGGTCCCTCATTCCCAGGAAGCTGACCTGACTCTCCACCCGGAGGGGAAAGGTTTTTCTGCTGCTAGAGCAGATGGCCCAGCCCTCTTCACATTGCTACAGAGGCATGGGAGTGAGGGCTGGGAGCTGCCCTTTCACGGCAAGACAGGAAGAGAAAGGCCCTGTTCTGCTGATGCACAAGTGCGGGTCCCTCCTGTAATTAGTGCCAGGTGGACTAGTCAAGCAGCTGTTGTCTGTATGAGCAAAAGCACTGAGCGCTGGTGGGAAGGCGAAGACAGAGACACCCAGGGGGAGGAGCTGTAACACGCAGGTGACTAGCGCAGGAGGGCTGCCCTGCTAGTTGTAATTTTGTAATTTTGCTTTTTGTGCTAGTTAAGGAGGAGTGGATGGGTTGCCTTTGCAAAGTGGAGGCTACAGAGCTACATCCAACAGAGAGGCTAAAGAGAGGGCACCAGGTAGCCGGGCTTTCTTTTTTGTGTTTTCCTTGATGATGTGAGGATGATCCTACACTGGGTCATCACGTGGATGCACAGTATCTACCATGTGATGGCCTGTGAAAGGATAGCAGGCCCATTTCTCCAGTCCCAAGGGTGCTCTGTCCTTTCTGCCAGAAGCCATACTCTGGCCACACAGGCAGAACTACCTAGGGAACTTTTATCTAGCCATGGACTGCATTGTAGGATGGTTTTGTTTTTGTCTCTTCAAACCCAAAGGGGCTGGGAGTGAGGGGTTTATTTAAACAGGAAGAGCAACCCCCTCTCCTCCAGATTTCCTAAATTCCTACCCAACTCTTATTCTGAAACCCTGGAAATAACATTGGGCCTGATATTCACTGATCTGACTATGGTGTGCAACCTCTTGCTTTGGTCTTAAACATTTAAACCTTGTTGCAAAATAAACTATACCTGTTCTTTTCCTCCTCTGCCAATAATCCCGCATGTCTTTGGTTGCACCTCCTATTTGGAGCCCGGTGTGCTTGTGCTGTTTCCCTCAGGCCTTTGAGGGAAATGTTTCTCAGACCTGTACATGCGAAGATACCAATGCAGGCTTGATGGGTCTAAAGCCTTTTCTCTTCTTGTGGTGTTTGTATTTTTTACAGGGGTGAAGACATCCTGAGCCAGAGGAATGATTCTCTAGTTCTGGAATTTCAGTCATCAGCCAGCAGATGCAGGAGGTATAATTTTGGGTGTGGGGGCCTCCTCAGAAGCCCAGCAACCATCCTAAAGGACCACCTGCCTGTTCATCTTGCATAAGGCACTCCATGCATCACTCCAGTCATGTGTGTGGTCAGCTTGGCCTGGCTGAGGGTGGCCTGCATGGCATGTGTGTGGAGGTCTCTGTTTGACAGTTGGCACCCAGGGTGCTACTCCCAGTATGTGCTGGAGAGAAGGAAAGTTCAGATGCATGCAATGCAAGGTTCTATGTTTTTTGTTTTTGTTTTTTGTTTTTTTGTAAGTGCCATTCAAGGCTAGCTTGAAGTTAGAAGTGGATAATAGTCTCTGTTATTCGAAGCCCACTTCATGCCTCTGTATCATAAATCATGTGTCTTCTGTCTCGTCACTGTGTGAAACCCATGGAATGTTTACAGAAGCTGGGGGTTTGTAGGACAAGCACTACCCGTAGCATAGGATCCTCACAGCTTCTCCTTTGGATTAGAGGCTTGGTTCTATGAATGAGTGTGTCGAGGGTCCCCATTGTACTGTTCACTGTCACCTCAGCCATGCTCAGAAAATGACTGTGATATTGGAAGGCTGAGCCTCTCTGTTGGTAGAAGATTTTTTTATGTAAGGACACTGGTTAGGCTCCCAAACCTAATAACTTTGGGTAATGTACTAAGGATGAATTAAAATGCTAATGGTCTCCTTGCTCTGGATAGTTTAGCATTCCCTAATTTTAAATTTAAATTAAATGCCTTAGGGGCAGGAGTAGCCTTGCCAGAAGCATGTGTAGTATCATCTCACAGACAGTGACTTTAAAATATGCCCTGCCACATGGGCCCAACTGGAATGAGGAGTACTTTTTAATCACAGTGCTTTTTTGTTGTTGTTGTTGTTTTGTTTTTTGTGTTCCCTACATCTACATGACACAAACACTAAAGAGGCTATTTAACCTTTAAAATACTATTATTTTCACAAAGTTCTTTTGAACCCACAGATCCTTTGATTTTTAACCTTATGTTAATAGAAGACCCTGGATTTCAGGACGCCTGAGTGTCCTAGAACTTTCTTTTGAATTGCCAACACAGCTTCTCAGTTTGACCTTACACAACACCCTAAGTCAAAGTTATTCCTACCTTATAATGGAGACACTGAGGGGTAAAGAGGCTGGGTGGCTTTTTTTTTCCCATCTCCTTTCTGGACCATGGAGAATTTTATTTAGTAGGTAGGTGTCTTGGCTCCCAGTTTAGGCCTCTGTTCCCTAGATCAAGCCAAACAAAATGATGGCAAGGCCACGGTCATTCTTTACTTGGGGATGTGTGCTTCCCTGATGGGTAGTGCTGCATGCCTGTACTAGGCCCTCGAGCCCAGGAGCCCAGTGTGTTTTCTTTCATCAGGAAGAGAGTCACTTTCTCACTGCTAGTTAAATCAGCCCCTTTATTTCCTCCTTATGAGGGGAATGGCACACTTTGTCTCCCTCTTCATCCTTCCAGTTGTTTAGTATCTGGCCACTCCATGGTTGTATTTTGGTGAATAGCTGATTAATTTTCTTCAACCAGAAGGTGCAGTTCCTGATGACAGTGATACAATTCAGTTTCCATCCTTTACCTTTGTCGCCCGTACCCCTTCCTCCTAGCACAGTTTTTTATGGTTAGTAGGAGTGATAGTTTCAAATATATCAGAAGGAAGAATTGATTCAGTAGTCGTTTGACGACTTGACTGATTAGCAGAGATCAGGAGAAGGTTCATAACTGTGAAATCCTCTGCAGCATGGATTTTAACAGCTCTTTAGGGAGCTAGTTAATGATAGAATCTCTACAGAAACACAGGCATCACACATTCTCTCTCTCTCTCTCTCTCTCTCTCTCTCTCTCTCTCTCTCTCTCTCTCTCTCTCTCTCTCTCTCTCTCTCTCCCTCTCCCTCTCCCTCTCCCTCTCCCTCTCCCTCTCCCTCTCCCCACCCCCCCAACCAGCAGCATCCCCATATAACACTCAGAGGTGGTATCATGATAGGAAGTAGGCTCATAATTTCTATTTACACATCGAAGTAATTACTGTGGGCCCGGGCAGGGCACTCAGTCTTCAGTCAGAGTTGCTTACATAGTTCCTTTCTTGCGTTATCAGGCAGAGGAGTCTAATTCTGGTTGGAACTTGTCCCACGGCTGGATTTTCCCTCTGGAAGAATGTGATTATCAGACATGGAATTCAGTCGGCCTGCCGAGCCTGGCTTTAGTCTCATCCGTGTTCCTGTTGTCATTGCCATTTGTCCTTTAACCAGATGTATGTGACTTTGGGCTTGGCTCTTTAATGTTGGGGGTTGTTCTCTTCCCTTTCTCCTGGTGCAGTGTCTATGAACCAGATAGGAGTGCATTACGGAGGAAGGAACGAGAAAGAAGAAGCCAGGAGGCACAGCAGGACAGTGGCGGCTTTAATTCCAGTTACTCTCTCTTCAGTGAACCCTACAAGGTAGATGGCTTTCAGCTGGTCAACCCCCCCTTTGCTTCTGGGAATGTTCTGTGAAGGAGTTGACAAGAGACCCCAGTTAGTTTTTTGTCCTGGGAAGATAGTCCTGCCACTGTAGCACCCATCCCCCCCCCCCAAAAGTTATATTTAGATTGCAAGGCTATGTTGGTTCTTTACTTCATAGGTTAAGTGTGACGCTGAGACCCACTTGCTATGACTTTTGTCAATAATTCAGACTTCATCTCTTTGGTTTCAAAATTAATGCCATCTGTTATGTTTTTTGATCTCTTAACTACTATTCTAAAGAGTTTAGGTTAGATATTTGATATGTGTGGCTCATGCAAGGATCAAGGCACCTGTTAGGGCTAATGAAATTGGGGGTCTTCAGGATTGTTCAGTGGTGGAGGTAGCAGCTACCAAGCCTAAAATCCTGAATTGATCCCTAGGACTCAAATGGTGGAAGGAGATAACCAAATTGCAAGTTGCTCCCCCCCCACGCACACGTAACATAATTTTTTTTATGCAAGTTGCAAAATCACTTCTAATTTTAACCAAAGACCAGCCATTGAGACACGCTGCATACTTTTTATCCACAGTACAGAGGTCACCTCTCTTCCAAATGAAACATCTTCCAAGGTTCATGAACATTTCAGGCTGTAAAAATATGGACAATTTAGGGTGGGGGAAATTTTGCATAGTTGATCTCATATTGCTTCTCAGTTCACCCTGCTTCCTCTAGCCTAACACATTGTTTCTGACAAGAATAGTTACTTACTTAGAATCTGGAAGCAAACTTATAGCTGAGTCAAATCTAAAATTTCAAGAAAAGCTTTTAGTAGCTCTGCAAAACAACTATTATCTAATCCAAGAAAGACAATGTAGAGCATTTTGTGAAGTTATAAGAGTAAATTTTCTGATTTCCAGGTTACATAAATATACAAAATATGTATGTATATATAAATAATAACAAATACATTTTGGTTATAGCACAATATACCAAGATACCAAGGACAGCTTTCTGTTTTTTTTTAAATATGCACTGAGGTTGGTTATCTATTACAAGTTTCCAGTGTTCTTGAATAATGTGGAGACTAACAGCTATGTTCAGATCCCATAAAGACTTTGGTTTCCTCTCTCAGCTCTCATTGTGAATGTGTCAGTCTTGAGCATGTGACCCCCATGGACACCTGTCCACTGTTTCCTGTGTCTTATCTCTAACAGGATCATGGGTATGTTTTTTATTTCTACAGACCAACAAGGGGGATGAACTCTCCAACCGGATCCAGAATACGCTAGGAAATTACGACGAAATGAAAGACTTTTTAACCGACAGATCCAACCAGAGTCACCTTGTCGGCGTCCCCAAGCCGGGTGTTCCTCAGACTCCCGTGAACAAGGTAGATGAACATTTTGTGGCGGAGTCAAGGGCCCAGCCCCAGCCCTCATCTGTCTGCAACACTGCATCGTCCACACCTGCAGCTGTCCCTGTGCAGCAGAGTAAGAGGGGTGCCATGGGCTGGCAGAAGACTGGGCACCCACCATCCGAGGGCCAACAGAGAGCAGGTAAGGAGGGGCATGAGGCAGTTTCTCAAAGAACCCACAACGAAAAACCTATTCACTGTGTGCGGAGTCCCTCACCCTCATCATCACTGCCTTCTTCTTCCAACTCAGCGCAACAGGGCTCTCTCAGGACCCTGCTTGGAGATGGTGTTGGCAGACAGCAGACAAGGGCCAAGCAAATGTGCAATGTGGAGGCGGGGCTTCAGACCCAGGAGAGGCCACCTGCGATGGCAGCCAAGCACAGCGGCAGTGGACACTGTGTTCAGAACTTTCCTCCATCCCTGGCTTCAAAACCCAGCCTGGTACAGCAGAAACCAACAGCGTACGTGCGGCCAATGGATGGCCAAGACCAGGCTCCTGATGAATCTCCGAAGCTCAAGTCATCCACAGAAGCTGGTGTACACTGCACAGCCTACAGAGGGGTCCCAGCCAACAAATCAGAGTCAGCCAGATCCAAGGCCAAGCTCGCTAAGTTTAGCATTCCCAAGCAAGCAGAGGTGAGTCCTTTCTCATCACAGTTACACGCAACTAAATAGTAGCATGACCTGAAAATGCAGCTTTCATGTTCCTATCCCTCTCACTTCCCTGTTGATGTGTAGCCCTTAGACAGAAGTTACAGTTTTTAAAGTTTTCAAATTCATTAATCTAGGGTTATGTTAAGTACTGAAAATATATCTACACATATATGTATAAATGTATTTGTATGTGTTTATGATGTATAGGAATTACTTAGGGAAGGAATGCCTTCTTTGGTTGAGTTCATGGAGTTTCTTGAACAAGATAGTATTAACTAAGATATATAGTAGCAATATAAAACACTTCAAAGGCTGTAATTCAGCTTTCAAGGAGGTAAAGTTGTTCTGTAAAATAGCTCAGAACTCTTAACACTTTTATCCATTTTGAAAAGTTTTATGATAAACTTCTTAAAGGAAATTTCATAAGAATCTGCAAAGTATTAAATCGGCACTGAGTCTGGTTGATATTCCAATACATTAGATATCCCATTCACTTTATAAGACCTGTGATTCGGTTCATTCGTGTTAATTAAACAGAATTGCGTGGGCTCTTCATATGATATGAAAATGTTCGGCTATATGAGCATATTCTCAGAATGAATGAAGTGTTCCAGTTCATGCTCTCCTGGTTTGCATTTTGACTTTGTGGTAGCACATTTGTTCACTGCATTACACAATGTGTGGAGTGGATGCACTGAGTGTGAAAAATTTAACAAGCCTGTCGCTCGACAGGTTGTGGGAAAGGCAGTGACTAGCTCCTTGAACAGTGACTCTGAATGGAAAACAATCTTTTTAAAGTGGCGTGTCTCATTCCATATTCCAAATTGATGATAGCTGTCACGAGCACACGAAGAGGAATTACGACTGTGCACATGTGCTTTTGTTGTCTCTCTGAGATGGAGCCTGGGAGCCAAAATAGTCTTTCTTTAACCCTGTTCTTAGGAGCTGCTGAGTCGCTTTTCGCTTTGACATGTTCTTCTTTAAAGATGGAAGAAGGATGTGACCAGAGTGTTTTTTACATCTTAATTCAATTTAATAACCAAAGGAAACAAAGGATTTGGCATTTCCTGTTGTGTTTTTGACAAGGCTGAGCATAGCGTTTCTGTGCCATCATCTTGGAATTCCCCATGGGCCATTTGGGAGATAACCCTGTTACCCAGAGACTGTCACTCAGAGAGAGACTGTCTTTTGCACTCCAGGAGGTGTTTACTAAGGTTCTAATTAGGAAATGTGGTGACGTGCACCAGTAGCTTTTTTTGATTACACATTTATGATGTATTCTAGCAATTAGGGATCAGGAATGATTAGAAATAATGGAAACAAAATGTAATTTCTCCAGGCATTTAAAAAATAATTATTTTTATCTTTTAAATTATGTGTATGTATGTGTGTATCCGTGTGTGAGTATACATATGAGTGCACGTACCCATGGAGATCAGAGATGTTGGATGCCTGGGACCTGGAATTACAGTTACTTGTGGCTTCCTGTTGAGAATCAAACTTTAAAATAGCAACACACGTTCTCTAGGCATTGTTTATAAGAAACACCTGGATACCACCATATTGAACTGAATTCCTCAGGATCTTGGTTTTGTCATTGTCATCAAATGAGCTCTGTTGGCAAAGGAAGTCTCTAGCTCATCCTTGAACAGTGGTAGCCAACTTAAGCCACTAGTGTTCTGTTTACACTTTTCCTTTTAGTTGATTCCTTGTTAAAATGATGTTTTCCCACTGCAGCAACTTCAGCTTATTAGGTAACTATTTATTCATTTAGAATCCAGTGAGATAGATAGTTCTGACTAAAAGCAATGAGATGTCTTTTCCATACCCAGTGTGGCCTTGTGCAGATACCTTCGATGAGTTATCAGTACTCTGGACATCATCATGATGCCCTTTGAGGACCCCAGATCAGGGACAACTGTGAGAAATCAGAGTGATGCATAGAAACTGTTTTCATTGTTCCTACATACAGCATTGAAAACAGACAGCCTTTTGCCTCCCCATGCTCTGTCCTGAGAGTGTCAAAGAGGCCAGGCATGCATTGACAAAAAGGAATAACTGGAAGTGTGTGTGTTTGTGTGCGTGTGTGTGTTCATGTGCACACATGCGCATGCAAATAGATGTTTGGCATTATGTAAGAACATTCCTCCTAAGAAAGTCAGGTTGGTAGCTCGATGCAATGAAACTTGAGATATTAAAAATCTACAAAGTGATCTCTGCCTTCAGGATATTTATCCCCATGAATTGAATAAATTGGTCTCTAGCACTTAACTTTTTAATTTGCAATTTATCCCACAGTTACAACTACTTTTAAAATCGGTCTTCTAGTCTCATGAACATTCTCTCACCTCTACCATCCTTGTAGTGAAACAGTTTTGTTATTTGTTTGAAAATGAAGAAATTGTGAATCTCTCTGGCCTGGTTTTATATTTCATCAAGTCTGTGCTCTTTCCTTTACAACAACTCCATTCTGCCTGCTGCCACAGAGGGTTATTTGTTATAATTCTTTACTCTTTAATAATGGGTAATTAGTGTAGAAAAATCTAGTGCAGTTTGATGTGGAAGTTAAAGGCCTCAAGAGAATTCCTTAACCAGTACACCTGCCTCTCAGCTAGTTTATCCCAGTTCAGTTTGGGGCTTAATGAAAAACATATTTTTGTTGTTATAGCTGAGTCTCCTCTTCTTGATGCCACCCCTCATTAAGTGAACCTCCCCTAGAGTGCCACTTGGAAAGGTATCTTTTGTTAGGTGAGAAACAGGGGACTTAACAAACAGCTGAAACATGCATTCTAGAACATCATAAGACAGGGCATGGCAAATAATTTCCAATCGAAATGAGTTATTTTTGTTACACACACACACACACACACACACACACACACACACACACACCCCACACACACACACACACACATACACACACACAATTCCAGGTTTAGCCTTTGGAGACTATTAACATAGAGATGTAGGTACAGATTTTGTGGGATTTGCAATTTTTACAGAAATATCTGTCTTTGTAAATACATCACCGAGACCCTTCCTGGGCACTGGGTACACTGAAACTTAAGCGTGCCTAGTTTTAAGGTCTTTCAGTCTATGACTCATGGGGTAATGTGAAATTGTTATTAAGATAATAACTTTTCATTTGGAAAAGTACTTCATATCAAACTCAGATTGGTACCTATTTATATGGTGGGCCAGTAGGAGTAGGCACATACATGACAGAGTCATGAAAAAGTGTACTATGTTTACCTGCTGGTTGAGGAATCTGAAGAAGGCATATTAAAGCAGGTCCCCACTTGCCAAGGTGTCCTCGTAGAGTGTGCAGTCAAATTTTTTAAAAGTTTGTATTGTCTAGTGGTATTCCAAAAGCTGTATACCTTATGCTCATTTTCTATTAATCAGGAGCAGTGATTTGAATATGCTGTTGCACAGACCTCTGATGACTGGCATGGGAACATATTTAAAATCCAAGGGACAAAGCCAGTCCTATTACCCATTGCTGTGTTGATGTGGAAAGAGATCTCTAAATTTGAGTGTCAGTTAACAGACTATGTTAGGGACTTTAGTTGTGATTGATGCTTCATTTACAAGAATAGAGTAACTGTTTGGTTGATTAGATTTGCTTTGTTAAAATGTGCACTGAAATACTTTAAGATATATTGATTAAACATAGCATTTTCATGACCAGCATTTTCTAAAAAATCACCATTTATGTCACAAGTAAGAGTAGAAAAACGAAATGCCATGATTCTACAAAATAGCTTCCCAGAAAAGCAATTAACTGATTTTGTTCCAAGTTCACAGAAGATAAATGATGTAGGCTTCCTATTTCCTGTCACTCTTGGTTACCTTTGTATGAAAATGGATTTCTTCCAAATTAAAGTCGGCACCAGCCTGTCGGGCGAAAAGGCATCTGCAAAAACAGAGTGTATATTACATATTCAAGCCAGTCGGAATTTCTTAATTACAATTGAGATGTATAATGTTTTCAAATCAAAGTATGCTGTCAGATTATTCCTTGAAGAAATGAGGGGGCTCTGTGGAGCCAGAAGACTCAGTTTCACTCTGTTGTAGTCTCATTCTTCCTATCATTCTCTCCTCTACTCTGCATTCCCCAAGACAGGGGAGGCAGGTCCTGTGGGACAGAGTGGCTTAGCAACAGCACCGTGTATAAAAATCTGTACTTCCTCCTGTCCACAGTATTGATATGCACAGCCTCCATCCTTAGAAATTCCACACCATGCATGTGCAGAGCCTCCATCCTCTGAGAACATCCACAGCATGCGTGTGCAAATACACAGCCTCCATCCTCTGAGAAATTCCACACCATGCATGTGCACAGCCTCCACCCTCTGAGAACATCCACACCATGCGTGTGCACATGCACAGCCTCCATCCTGAGAAATTCCACACCATGCATGTGTACAGCCTCCTCCCTGTGAGAACATCCACATCATGCGTGTGAAAATACACAGCCTCCACCCTCTGAGAACATCCACACCATGCGTGTGCACATGCACAGATGCTGCCCTCTGAGAACATCAAACTCTTCCTTGTCCTGAAGAAGTTCAGTAGTGGACAGGAGTCAAATACTCATCCCCCATGCACCATGAATGCACATGCCTTCCTTGTTCCATCTGGGTCATTCTGAAGGTCATAATGGAGGCTAGCACATGGAAATACTTCTACTTTTTAGCCCTTTTATGTTTAGTCAGTGGACCCTAAAAGGTCTGTTAAAATAGGTCCCCTGTATGAAGGTGTCCTTCCTGTTCCCTTGCCTCCCAGGGATCCTTCAGATTGATATTAGAAAGCTAAGTTTTCTAGCTTTAAGGTGGGAAACCACTTCTGAGGGTAGAGGCCTCAGGATAGGCCCCAGCAGGAGGTTATTAGCAAGCCTGCCTTGTTTTTCCTGTCTCTCCTTTCCCTTTTTGTAAAGTCCCCTCCCCCAGAAAACATCTGGAAGGATTACAAGACTGGCT